TTGTTGTCACTGTGAAGAAGATCAAAATTTGGACACTCAAACTGCACTTAGTGGTGATTATATGAAATCAGTTATTATGACCGACTAGCTTAAACCTGTTCCTGCCTGGCTAACGTATTAGCAGTTAGCATGCCAGCTAAGGAAGATGTCAGCTAGCACTGTAGTCTTTATTTTCTTTCTTGATAAACTACTAATAGATACAGTCTATTTAGTATATCTACGTTGGGAATGATATTAATAGACAGTTATATATAACATATAACACCCAGGTGACACAAAAACAACAACCAACCCAGTGTCTTAGTAAAGGGTTGTTCCACCTCGAGCTGCCTTGCAACTCTACTAAGGCACCCAGCTTCTAGCAGCACCTATTCAGCGAGGACGTGTTCCTGAACTTCACTGTGCCACTTTCTGGTGTGAACAGGTCATGAAAGTGAAGATATCATCATTAGATGGTAACGAGTTATCTCTAAGTGGGATGGAAGATGAGCCTTTTCAGGAAAGGACAACAACCTACCTTTGTGGCTGAATCCACCGCTGCACCTCTGTCCAGCAGCTCCTGGACCAGATCCACGTGGCCCTCCTTGGCTGCCAGGTGCAGTGCATTAAGACCATTCTGGAAAAAGACGAGGGAGGAGAGATCAGACCCAGTGTCCAACAACCCAGCAACAACAAAGAATTGAAAGACAGTTCCACATAGAAAGAGAAGGGACTACCTCGTCCAGATCCATAACTAACTGAGCCTGCCTTTCTTTCTCTGACTCAGTCTTAGTAACATGTGAACGGCTGTCCTTCACTCTAACATGTGGAGGGGTAGACTGAAATATCAAAGCTAGCTATCAAAGATGGGTTAGATGTTGTGCCATGTTATGCTGTTGTGGGGGAGAGCCAGTACTGGGTATGAAGATATAAATAGTTGTGTGAGTTTGTGTGTGTGTGTGTGTGTGTGTGTGTGTGTGAGGGCAGGTCAAGCAAACATCCTCTTATTTTTCATTCTAAGGTGTTGATCCCTTCCACTCAAATATCATTGTCTTTAGTATTGATTGGCAATGGCTACAGTAAATACATGGGATTCATTTTAAAGACATTTTCAAAAAAGCATAGCTTGTCACTTCATTGAAAGTTTGGTATATTTCAAATGGCAATAATACTTACAAATGACTTCTCCTTAACTTGACATACATGGCAGTTCAAAGTTTTGAGTTATAAATCGCTTACGACCTCTATTAATATCTGTATCGGCCTCTTGAGTGTCATGTGCTGCTTGGTTGGCAGGGAGTAGGTGGGTCGGGCTAGCTCGGCTGACTCAATACACTGAGAGAGAGAATAAAAAGCTAAGAGATTGCCACACAAATGTGTGTTCAGAAGGTTTTTTCAACACGGATGACTGAAAAACAGTTAACAAGGGGCTCATGGGAGATGCAGTGTGAATGTGGAAATATATATATAATCTAACTTTTGGCCTTTAGGTCTTCTTTAAAAAAAATTCAAAATTAAAGATGCATTTATTTTATATATTAATTTATTTATTTGCCACTTTGGGCCAGGGGAAGAAGCTGAAAACATTGGCAAGTCGTAGCTAACAGCATACATACATAAACATACTAAGGCATTATGGTTGAGATTTAGTGTTGTGCATTATTAGATATTTAGATTGGGGTCAAGCTGAAAACACATCTGATACAGTATGAGCTTAAGTAAAGCTGCCAACGCTAACATTCTGGCAAACAGTGTCCTATTTACACATCCAGCAGACATGGAGCAACATTGCTTTTTATTATGAGTCGTGTTTCTGTGCACCTTATGAATGTAAGATAAAGATTCACCCTCCTTTGAGCTCTGTTTCGGTTTCCATCAACTCTCTTTAGCTGCTAATTGCTCCCGTTTCTCCACAAGCTAGCTGCTAACTTTGCCTATCGAGTGCTTGATTCTGGAAAGGTATTGCACAGTGGATTTATTAGAGCTTTTTTGTTTAAAACATCTTCCCACGGTGGCTAAAAACAAGGTTGAAGAGAGTGGACTTTGAAGGCTGTAAAGCCAAAACGATGAGCCTAAAGAGGCTAATTAAATGAGCTCTGTAGAGCTGAAAGGAACTTGGCAGTTGGGTGATAATTATCTGTGTGCTTGTCACTGTAAGAACCATCTTTTCAATTACAGTCATTTGATCCATTGTTAATAAATAAAAAAATAAATAATATTGATAAATAATTTAAGCTTTAATAATAAAATAAAAATAAGCAACCAAACAAATATTGCCCCATTAACGGCATTCTGTTTTCTTTCATGTCTTTAAGCAGAGGGGGTGAATGTAGGGTTAGTTGTTCCCCTAGTTTGCCCCTCTCCTTTTCCAAGTGACCCAGCACTCATTCAATAACCCTTTCAGCAGCGTGAGCATTAGGCTGCAGTATAAAAAGAGCCACTCAGTTGATATCTAATTTCCTCCGTGACTAAAAAAACTAACCCTCATCGCACAGCCCCCTGAGGCTGATGGTCCCACTGGACTCCTAGGGTCTCTACAGAGGCTCCCTGTGGCATCCCAAAGACCAAAAGAGAGTGACTGTTCGTCATAAAATCATCTGACTATGCTTCAGTTTTCATTGCCCAAAGGTATTCCGCAGCTGGCAGGAGGCATCTGCTCAGTAGCAGAGAGAGATGTATTCCAGCAAAGTACTGCTGTTTTTGGATCAGTTGACACCTGCCTACCTCCTGCTGGCCTCACATCACCCTGCACTGAGCCAGTAATTGGTACAACTACTGTTTGTAAAATACTAGTAAGAAGCATGAAAAAGTATGTTATTTATTATATGTTTTGATATGTTTTGTAGAATAAATTAAACAAATTTTCAAAAACTCATTTGTGAGCTGTGTGGGATGCAATTTAGTGTTCTTGCTTGGCCTTGGAATTTGGTAGCTATGTTCCAGACCTATTATAAACAACATCTTCATTTTTAGGCAATTTATTATGGTCTGATGTTGCCTCCATTGACGGAATATGGGATTATCTGTGAATCTAAAAGATGAAGACGAAGTTGAAGTTACTTGGATAACATAACTGCTAACCCCCAATCTCTGGTATCCTTCATGTGAGAAAAATCATCCAACAGTCTGTTTGAAGTAGCACCTGTCACTGTTCTCCCATAAAAGTCCAGACAGCCATTTCTCAGCTGTGACTATGAGGCTGCAGAGATGAATGAGTTTCTTGTGTCTTTTGACCCAAAGGACAACAACAGACAGATGTAAAGAAGTTGGATGAAAAAAGTCACAATTAGAGGATTTTTTAATCACCTTCATATAGAATCTAAGTAGATGTTCCTCATCTCAAATGTACTGCATGCTGATGACTCACAATTTCTAGTTAATGGATTGTCTGAATGCAAAATATGTTTTCTATTCTTCTGTCTTTAATATGGAACAACCTGCAGTTCTGCCATAACCCTCAGGGGCCTATTCCTCTTTGTGCATGCCCTCCATTCACCTCCAGGAAGCCTTTATCATGTACCATGCCCTGTCCACCCACCCCTCCATCCATAATATCTGTTACCTCATTCGGTCAGCCCACATGAACACCATCAGGATTCCCAATTATCTGTTGGATCTATTACACAAGCAATTTTAAAGCAATGCAAATGGGATGTGGTGAAAATCTAATTTAGCATTGCCAGAGTCTTCTCAGGGGAGCGAGGCGGTTATAATCAGAATAAATACCAACTCATCAGTGCAGTTTGTTATTGAGCTATAATCAGCATCCAACCACAGTAAAACACTGATGCCCATTAGTCACTTAGAGAAAGTTTAAAGCCTTTACTCGAGACAATTAACAAGGTGCTGAATAATATTTTCTGCTCACAGTCAAGCTAAACAAAATGTAACTGGGAAATGATATATAGATCTAAACTCTGTTCTCATTTAGCTTTCCCCATTTCATCCACTGAAAATGCAGTTTTTGTTAAAATAACTGATTGCATGACAGTGTACAGTTTTAAAGCTGCACTGGATTTATTTGGCTGGATTAACATTATTTTGTCAAATGAAGCCTATTACTGGAGCTGTAAGTAATAATACAATAACACTAACATGTGGCAAAAAACACGCAGAGAAGCATACTACGTGACTTCAGACTAATGCTGTAATGACAATAAAGTCAAGTCAATTTTATTTATATTGCCCAATATCAAAAATTTGCCTCAAAGGGTTTTACAATCTG